CCAGGATCCATGGCAAAGACTCGCGAGAACATCAAGCCTGACACTCGGAAAGGATAAAAAAATCTTGGAACCCGCAATAAAATGAACAGAAGTATTTACATTACTCTTGAAATAATTTAAGTATTTGAAATAATTTAATTGCTTCTTTAGCAAAGATGACGACAAAAGAGAAAAAAAATATGATAGACACATTGTCTAGAGTTAATAAAAGTAACAATTCTATTAGACAACCGCAGCGCTCGACCAAACGTCTACGGTCATAAAAGGAAGAATTAAAATACCGACGGTCATAAACGATTTGTTTGTACAATCCTCGGCGCGAGTAATAACTTCATAATTGGTTCACAAATGATCCATCCAACATTAACACGATACCCGTGATCATTAATTGACGTTCTGAAACAGATCCAGAGGATGGACAATAAGTATATTAATACTTATAAGATGCCTACGAGGCTCGACGGTAGGGCTGCTACGTAGTGATTCAAGATTCCAGTATTATTTTTATATTCTAAGTTAAAAGACAACACCCGAGCTAGGAATATATTCTATATTGCGAGGGACTATACTAACATTCATGAAACGGGCACAACAATTTGTAGATTACACAAAGTGGGGATAGAACCCACAACGCTTAGTGCAGTGGGAAGCGGTGAGCGTTTATACCACTACGCGCGTAAATAAACCTCCGTGCAGTATGTTTAAAACTCCGGACTTCAGTAAATCTTAAGAATTTCTTCCAAAATCTGCCAACAGTTAATGAAATAAAATGTTCTGTAATCATCTTTTCATGAATACTTGCATAATTGGCACTCCAGCAATGTGCACTTTTCAAGACACTGTTTGCCTCGCACAACCAATCTGTAGAACAAGTTGTCGTCGGCGGTATTTCCGGACCGATACGACCTTGAAGGCCTTCAAGAAACAGCGTACTTCTTCCTCAAAGGTCGGCAACGCGCTTGTGACTCCTGAGTTGCAGGCTTTCATGGGCGGCGGTAGTCACTTTCCATCAGGTGGCCCGTCTGCTTGTTTGCCCACTCTATTACGAAAAAAAAAAGGCTTATGTTACAGAAATTGAGCGAAAATCAAAAGGCAATCGAATATTTTCATTCCTTTTGTTAAAGCTCGAAAATGGGAACTTCGTGAAATATAGAGACCTGTGCGCAAAAAAATAAACAAGGTGTTTTTAAAATACATTTTACATGGTACAATATGGAGTACCTATTACAAGTATAGACATCATGATTAATAATAGGGGTTAATGCCTTTTCAACAGCTGTTTACGACTCAATCAATCAATGAAAACCAACTCGAGTAATCTATTTCGCTTACAATTTGAATACGAGATTTTTATGACCAATAAGTGTTTGATACGAACTGATGATTAGACGCTCTTCGAAGTGTTTAGTTTCTAAATATGATAATATTGGCAAGTATAGCTGGTATAACGTAAGTCCAATATTTCCGACAGAAACATACTTTGAGCAATTTAATAACAATAGTGAAGATGTTAATTGTGGGTAATTGTCTTTCTTATTGTTAAATTTTAATTTATCCACAACCAACAGTTTATATCAAGAGGTCAGGACGATGACACTTTATTACGTGACAATGCAGATCTGCTGAGTTGAATTGGTTAATAAATATCTTTGAGTTTAACTAATAAATAACTGTAAGACAAAAGTACAATTACATTTTTTCTTAGAACCGCCTTTATACTGAAAATCATGTTTAAAACATACATAATAGGAACCGATGATATACTGATTTATCATTGGAAAAATATTCTAAGGTCAAAGTATATATATAAAGCTGACAAAAACGAAAATTCCGATTTTTAAAGCTATTGAACATATTTTTTTATTTGATAACTCAGTTTAATCTTTCGATTCTAATTTCTATTAGAAATAGTTTTCTATCAATTGACAATGTACTGAAATACGACATTATACAATTGTGAGATAAAAGAATTCACACCAAAACATTTGCGATGTTCAACAAACGAAATATATCTGTTGTCAAGCTGATTGTGGCAATTAATACAGTTGATCTTGTTCACTAGTCTTTTTAACGAGCGAATATTTTACTTTTCGTTGATACATTTTTTAAATATAACAGTTCAACGAATCCTAGAGTATAATATGGATGTACTAGTTTTTTTGGATAAGATACTCCTCATATAGACTCCTGTTTATAATAATATTTTTTTTTGTCAGGTAGGGATTTAGTCTGAAAAATAGATAGTTCTCACACAATATTTTGCGCCTAAACTTAACAGACTGTAGTAACGGTTTTCTGATGATGTCTATAGTCCTTAAACAACTAACAAGGTGGCGAGTGGGTCTTTCTCATTAAAGAATTCCATCGTTCATTAGATCAACAATGATGCACCATCATTATTAATCAGGGTTTAATGCAGTGTCTACAACTAATCGCACAAAAGAAATAAATAAAACCAATTTTTTTCCAAGGCCAATTGAGGCATTTTCGACCCTCTAATTTCGTTGTGCACAATGCTAGAAGTCTAATTTGAAATCATTGTAAATAGTACTATGAACATGTTACACGTATATAAAATTTACGTAAATTAATATAATATAAGGTAAGATCTACCCAAACACAGAAACACACAATTGTCATACTTATAAAGCAAGCATACACACTCAGGACATGTTAGTAGGAGAGCTACTGAACCATTCGACTAACCCGCGTCCCACAAAGTTGTTGTTTTTTATATGACGTTTTATTATCTATCAATGACGAAAGTACCGTTCTGGCAGCGATCTTGCCGTTATCATCATCTTCTCCCACAAGGCTCACATTTGAATGGAATATTCTCTCAATAGTTTAAAAATTATACATACGTCAACAGCCAACCTATTCTGGCGGTTGCAACTGCCTGCCAGATGAGTATATAATAGTCATGACGCTGGATAGGAGTACGAGCGCGACAGACGTATACAAGTTCTAACGTCAGAAAGAGAGAATCCATACTAATATTATAAATACGAAAGTGTGTCTGTCTGTCTGTCTCTCTGTTTGTCTGTTACCTCTTCACGCTTAAGCCGATTTAGATTTATGAAATTTGGAATGGAGGTAGTTTGAGTGCCGGGAAAGAACATAAGATAGTTTTTATTTTAGAAATCATTATTTAAAGGGGTTAAAAAAGGGGTGAAAGTTTGTATGGGGAATCAATAACTGTTGAACCGATTTAGATTAAATTTGGTATGGAGACAGTTTGATTCTTGAGAAAGGACATAGGCTAGTGTTTACCTCGATAACCGACATACACGTGGGCGGAGCCGCGGGCAAAAGCTAGTATGATACATTTTATTGTGGAGATATAATGACCGATGAGTGAAGTTAAAAATAAACGAAGTCATATGTCGAGAGTAATTTTTTATTTATTTTGACAAATATTTGTTATTGAAACGTATTATTACATTATTATCGTAGCTTATTATATACATAAGTATTACTCTTCATCTCCTGAATTGAAATAATTTAATATATTTTCATCGTTGTCTGTAAAAGAAATATATAATATATATATTTAATGACATGAAGGAAAGTAAACGTACAAACAATTGTTGATGATTTTACCAGCCGTATAAATACAACAATAATCCCTACCATGAGATACGCAAGACGGTACAAAAAATGTCATACATGCCTGCCATTATCCTTTAGAATGGAATTGTGTAATCCTAGTTCAGTGCCAGCAGACCCTAATGTAAAGTTGGATATTTTTGATGGACCTACTAATATGCCAGATGTTCCGTATACAGAAGTTATAGGAACACTTATGTATGCCGCTCTATAGGTAGCTGGCCTGATATTTCCGTGCTATATTGTTTGTCAATCAAGTAGGTATTTAACTATAATAATGTACACTGGGGAGCAGTTAAAAAGGTGTTTAAGTATTTAAAATGTTATAAATATTTCGGAATATTATATACTATTAATGTAAGTGATAAATTTGAAAGCAAAACCATTGGCTATTGTGATGCCGATTATGCAAATTGTTCAAAAAATACGTAAGTCTAAGTCTGGCTATGTTTTTATAAGAAATGGTGGTACTGTCACTTGGAATATTCAGAAGTGTGTCGTTCTATCTAGAACTGAAGCAGAGTATTTCGCTGCCTGTGCAGCCACGCAGGTGCTTGTACGGATTATAGGTATTTTGCAAGAAATTGGTTACTATGATTTTTTTTATTTATTTATAGATTACCAAAGTACAATCAAGCTCATTCGAGGTGCTAACTTGCACAAAAGACGCAAGCACATTGATGTTCAATATCACTATGTTTGAGAAAAACACCTTCAAGATGTAATTAACATAGAATTCTGTAATAGTAAGCAGCAGGCAGCAGACTTGTTCTCAAATACAATCCCCAACCCTAGTTCAATGAATTAAGATCTCTTATTGGATTACATGTACCAAAGGATAGGAGAGTGCACATTTAGGGAGGGTGCTGAACATAATAAAATATGCATTTATAATCTGTGGGCCTTAGTTGGCAACACTCTAGAGTTCGCTCTCATCCGTTTCTATATCGTTTCATCCGTTTCTATACTGTGTGTCGCTCTTTATATATGGCTGCCACTTTGCAATGTGTATCGCTGTTACAATAAAACACTGTTTAATTATAACCGTTTGGTATTTGATCGAAGCCCTAACCTTAACAAATAATACTACACGTTAATAGTTAATTTTAACTTTCGATATCGAACACCGTGTAAACCGATTAAGAAAATGTTTTTGGTAACTTTTAAGAGTAGTGTGTAATGTAGACGCAGTGATATTGTATGTATATACTTTGCCTACTACATTTTATACTTTGCCTAGGCATTCTATACAATACCGAATGCGCTGCGGATAATGTGTGTAAAAGACGATAGCAGGGAAGGGGGAGTGCGGACAGGCAGTAAACGCCGCACGGCACGGCAGTAGTAAACCTGTGAGTTCTAAAGAAAATTTAACAGAGCAAGCTCAGAAAATGCTAAAAAGTTCTCGGAAGAAAATTCCTCCTGTGCCAATTGGTACTACTGTTAGAATCCCTGTTCCGGAAGTCGACAGAGGTCACGGTGATGCTAGCAATCTATTAGCTGTAGTTTTACAAAAAACAGATGACGAACTTTACAAAATTGGAACAAAGCAAGGTGTTGTAAAGACGTTGTATTCAAGACAGCATTTTGAAAGGGTGTCCCTAATGAAGAAACGATGCCCCGAGGGATTTGTCAAATATATGTAAAAAACTCTGTGATACTAAAAAGTGTTCATGTCTTAAAGGAAAGATTTTATATACGACGAGGACGCAACTAGTGAGTATCCTTCGACCATTGCTTACCGTACAATTAATTTTACCACTCTGTAAACTAATCTTCAACTAAAAATGAAGTCACAAGAACGCATCAACGTCTAACTATCTTAAATCATAATAATGAGATAATCATATCATTTAGTCGCTATCCTTTGTAATTCACTGTTCATTAATTACAAAATCTTACTTAACCAATTTTTGAAAGGAAGCATCTAATATGCGTAATGGCTCTTAATTTACTATTATGAATAATGACAAACTACATGGAGTAGTTATAAAGACCAAATAATTTGTAAACAACTTATATTGTTTCTTATTTAGATATTTATTTTTATCTATAAATGTAAAAATGTTAACTCAAAAAGTTCTGCACCAAATTTGAACTCAATCAGTTCAAATTTTGAAACGCTATACAAATGGGATCAAACATTGTTTTTATCTATTTTTCACGTCGGTTTTGTTAATCATTTCTCATCAATACTACTACAATGTAATACAGCAAACGGGCACAGCTAGTACTGTCATATAAGTCACATGGTACGTTGCTTCAATAAGTAAATATCAAAACAATAGATTTAGTTGTTTATAAAAGGTGAAAAGTTTTAGTTATCAGAAGAACATTGCTTTGTTACCCAGGGAAGTTTTGATTTCTATACAGCGTACAAAAATCTGATAGGGCTAACTCGCACACCGAGAGTTCCGTAGCAAAGGTAGTGTAGGGTGATCATTCATTCCCAGACGATTTCGGAGAAAAAAAATCTTCGTAAACGAAACTCCTCGTTTGAGTATATTTGTTAAATGCCACCCCTATTCAGTGTATATGAAACACAAACTTGGGTTCCAAATCTACTCTGCTCCGAAAAAAGGAGGGCAAAGTAGTTTTGGTCGCCAACAGAACTCTTGGTTACATAAGGGATATATATTGGTGGAACGTAGGTGGGGTGGTAGGTAGAAAAGAAATGCAATGGTACGATTTACGTTATAAAAAAAAATATCGTTCTTGTGATATGATGGTGTGTGTTCTAGGGATTTTAAGTTGTGTGTTTGTTCTTTTCAGTGTTTTCGGGCCAATCTAAGAGTCGTATAACTCTGTAAGATGTGGTTGATTTCAATAAATATTAACGTATTTATGCCATTCGGCTTCTTGACTGGTCAGATCCAACTTACTTACTATACTTTCCAAATCACTTCGATTTTTTATAGAATGCATCTAATTTTACTAGACTTAGAAACGTCGACAACTTTACTTTGTCAAATAAAATCGGATGAAATAGTGTCTAAAAAGATCTTTTTACAAATAAACTCATTCTTATTCTACACGCGTCCGGGTTTAAAATTAATAGTTTAAGAAACAAATAAAGTTTCAGGCGGTCTTAAATAAACTGCTGTTCAATCGTCATAAAAAACAAAGCCTAGTATATTCCGTTAAACAAAATGTTATAAGTGCGTGTAATATCACAATCGCGTCGCGCGTCGCGAGGTGTGAACATTACTTTGTGTAGATATCATATCAAGATTGTCACGGAGAATTGAACATTAACCCAATACTGTAGTAAATCTTTTATCCTAAAGAAGAATACCAAATAAACTACGACGTATACATATTCGGCTAAAGAGTCTAGGGCGTTCGATCATATTTATAATGGAATCTTTCATAGAAAACCCTAGAATGTCATTTTAACTTAAAACTAATCAGATGCACAAAAATAAAGCTGCTAGAACTAACATCACGTATTCATAAAAAATAAATTAATCTTGATAGACTAAATTCTAAAATTATCCGAAATTGGGTTTTACCAAAACCAAAATAAGTTTAATTCTACGACAGACAATGACGGCGAAATCTGTAGCACAGTATCAATATCTACAGAATTGCTTGTAAAAAACGGAAGTATTTATTTATTTAGGACAACTTACAAAACATACACTAATACATAATTTACAAATATTTTCTGAGTGTTGTCTTACTTACAAGTTGCCACGGCATGGTAAGGGACAGTTACATCTAAGATTACAATGCAATATCTATAATAATATACAAAACATACAGAACATCATCAACATTAATTAAAGACAGTGATGATCTAAGAAGGTTCAAATGACGCAATAACTTTGCTTTTAAATTTTGGAAGACTTGGAAGTATTCGCCTCATTAGGCGCTTCAATTTATTTATTTTGTACGGTAACACAAAATCACAAACGTTACAGTTGCTTCGTTGTCTTTTTTCTCCCTTTACATTATTTAAGTTGATTGCCAGTAATGTCACCATCAAACAACTGTATAAATTTGAATCGTTTAAGTCATAATCACGCTGTTTGATATACCTGCGGTTTTTATTGGCGTATTGACTAGTTTTATAATGATTATAATTTTTGTTTTTATCTTTTTTCTACTTTTGTGTTTTTCTATAGTTTCGTTTAGATAAATATTTCCTTCCCTGTATATTTTTGAAATGAAACTTCTTTAGCACCGTTGTGATTTAAAAATTCGATGAAACGGAAAAGCGACAGTAAAAAGATACAAACATATTCATAAATAGGATTCAGCCTGCGAGAGAATGAGATAGATTACAAGTATTCAGTGTTTTCTGTAACCTTTGTCTCCTCTGTATGCTATCACGCGTCTTAGCGCCTGCGTACAACGAAGCCTTCAGAAGAAAATGTGTCATAAACAAAGTGGTGTATCATTCACGTGTTTTATTTTTTTTATATTAAAATATATTAAAATTCGTTGGTTAATTAATTCATGTTAATTATTTAACAATTGAACCGTGGTTACATTTGACCAATAATTTTTATTTAGAACATTAGTAATTTATTTCTATTGAATTTACAGACAATAATATTTGCGTGTATATTGTGTATTTTTTTAAATATAATATAATATTTTGACAGTGTGAATATTTTTTACTTTTTACTTAATAAAATATATTTTCCTGAAGTATAACTTCTGCCGTGTGTGAATTGCACACACACACTTTTTATTTTATTTATATATAGCTGGCTGTAGTACCCTGCGACTCTTTTGGTGTGGCACATTGTGTCGTGGTTGCATTGATGAGCAATTAGGTAAAAAGTGACGCGAAAAATACATCTAATCTTTAAAAAGGGTTTTAGATCTTGTAAAAATTTAAGCTCAATCGGTGTAGTACTTTTTGAGTTTTTGTAACGTACACACTTAAAAATTTTATACATATAAATACATATAAAAATATTTTACTGTAACCAAAATGTATTCAGTATGCATGCGCCCTAATATACACTAGAGTTAAATTTCAAGAATCGTGTGCATGACCTTCAGATCGACCACACCTGTATAGTGTTTGTACATAGATGCACTGTCGTACCTCTATTGTGAATTACAAATAGAGTCATCAAATAACCCACTTGAATGTCGTGAATTAGATCTATTTCACGGTAGCTTATGTATTACATGTGTGGTCACAGCTTTGCTCGTAAGGATGGCTTGCTGTACGCCTGATATTAAGTAGTATTTAACCTCCCTGAAGAAATTAAACATAAATTAGTAAGTGTAGATGAATTTATACTTCCATACTTAGATTATAAATGTAAAAGTGAGTTTTTTTGTTACGCTTTCACGCCTAAACCACTAAAGCGATGCTCAGCAATGAAGGGCTACTACGACATACACGTGGGCAGAATCGCGGGAAAAAGCGTAGTAGTATAATAAGAAGAAGAAGAAGATAAGATATACTACAACAGTGATCCCATCGATATTCACGATCCCTTTTTTTCTATGCGGAAATCCCCTCGGATACTACCCACCGGTGGGGTAGTTACGTCGGACTCAAACCGACCAAAAACTGCACGCCGACTCGGGTACCAGTAGCCGGGGAACCAGGTGTACCCTAGGGAAGAAATCCCTGATACCCGACGTACCTCTTGCCATCTAGGGCGTGTAGATAACCTCCTCCTATGTGGAAACCCCCATGTCCCCTTTGTGCTCCTGAAAGGGCCGGCCTGCTTCTGCTAGGGTGACCTGCCAACCCCAGGCCTGCGCTTATGGAGGACGGAGGTTGTCCTGCGATCTCCGGCGACTGAGTCGTCTGCGGTACCTGGCCCGTTCCCGGGCCTGGCGGGCACGAAGAGTTTTAAACCTCCTGGTTCTGCTCACAGAAGTAGACGGCGGAGTTGCAAGCACTCTCGCTCCATACCATGGGTGCAATCATATTACCGAGTAAGAGAATTTCAACTCTGATGGGCGCTACGAGGGCACGCCTCTGCTCCACCCACGCCGCGCCGGGCATTCTGCCAGCGTGTGGAGCGCCGTGTCCACGGTCTGGCCATCGCAGTGATGGCACTCAGGCGTTGGCTCCTTGCGGATCAGACAGGTGATCTAAAGATCATATACGGAGCTACTTATTTAGGTTCTATGTGCTATGGTGCACCTGTATGTGCCGATAGGGTGACCGTAGGCACTGTCCGTCGCAAACGGTTACAAGGCCAACGACTTGCACTGATATTCTTGTGTAAGGCATATAGGACGGTTAGCACTGAGGCTTTGCCGGTGTTGGCGGGTGTGCTTCCGGTCGATCTCGAGGTGCAGAGACGTGCAGCCATGTACTATTCAAGACAACAAAACATGGAATGCGATTATTTGGGCGCGCGGGATCGCGGTAAAATTACAAGATTGCTTCAACAGCAGCCCGATGTCTATAATGACCTCATAGACGAATGGCAACAACGCTGGGATGAATCATCCAAGGGGCGCCATCTTTACCAATTCTTTCCATCTGTTCGCGAACGGTTGTCGAGGATATGGCTTGAGGTGGATCACTGTGTCGCTCAATTTCTTACGGGTCATGGTAACTTTAAGAGCAAGCTTTATTCATTTAAATTAGTCGAGTCACCATTGTTTCAATGCTCAACACCTAACTCTCACTATGAACAGTCTGCTCATCATATCCTCT